GGAAGACGAGGAGGAGAACGAGATGGAGGAGGGGGAGGAGGAGGAGGAAGAGGAGGAGGAGGGGGAGGAGGAGGAGGGGGAGGGGGGAGGCTCCACTGTATCCGGGTCACGCCGGGAGCCGCCTCCAGCGGCACCGGGAGCGGGAGCGGGATCCGGTCCGGAGCGGGAATCGAACCGGGGCGGGATGGGGATCATCGGGATCGGGATCATCGGGATCGGGATTATCGGGATCATCGGGATCGGGAACATCGGGATCGGGATGGGGATGGGGATGGGGATGGGGAGGGGGATGGGGAGAGGGATGGGGATGGGGAGAGGGATCGGGATTCCAGCCGGGTTGGGATGGGGACCGGGAACTGGAGCGGGATCCGGTCCGGAGCGGGAATCGAACCGGGGCGGGATGGGGATCGGGATCATCGGGATCGGGATTATCGGGATTGGGATCGGGATCGGGATCAAGATTCCAACGGGATGGGGATCGGGATGGGGGTCGGGATTCCAACCGGGTCGGGATGGGGACCGGGATCGGGATCCGGTCCAGACCGGGATTCGAACCTGGGCAGGAGCAGGATCGGGATTGGGATTGGAACTGGAGCAGGATCGGGATCGGGATCCGGTCTGGACCGGGATTCGAACCGGGGCAGGATCGGGATTGGGATGGGGGTTGAGATCGGGATTGGAACTGGAGTGGGATCGGGATCCAGTCCGGACTGGGATTCGAACCGCGGCAGGAGCGGGATCGGGATCGGGATCGGGATGGAGATCGGGATCGGGATCGGGATTCCAGCCGGGTCGGGATGGGGAGCGGGATCTGGTCCGGACCGGGATTCGAACCGGGGCAGGAGCGGGATCGGGATGGAAATTCCAACCAGGTCGGGATCGGGATCAGGATTGGATCGGGATCGGGATTGGAACTGGAGCGGGATTGGGATCGGGATTTGAAGCGGGTCAGGATCAGGATCAGGTTCGGGATCTGGTCCAGACTGGGATTCAAACCAGATCGGGGAGACCCCAAATTCCCCAAAATTATCCCAAAATTTTCCCCAAATCCTTCGGGAAATTCCCTCTAAATCCACCTTAAATTTTCCCCCCAAACCATCCCAAAACTATCCCCGAATTCCCCCAAAATTCCCACCAAATCCACCCCCGAATCATCCCAATATTGCCCCAAAATTATCCCAAAATTCCTCCTCAAATCATCCTAAAATTCCCCAAAAAATCCACCCCAAAAATTTGGGATTTTGGGATCCTAACGGGGATTTTTTGGGATTCTTGTTGCAGGCTCGGATTTGGGATTTTGGGATTTTGGGAGGAATCTCCCAAATTTGGGGTGAGGATGCAGGAGAATTACGAGAACGTCATTTCCTTGGGTAAGGGGATCCCGAAATTTGGGAATTTTGGGAATTTTTGGGGAGTTCCCAGGGGAGAATTTGGGGGGGGGAAGGGAATTTTGGGTTTTTTTTTTTGGGGAGCTCCCATGGCAAAATTTGAAGGAATTTTGGGAATTTTCAGGTGTTCCCCAGGGGAAAAATTTAAGGGAATTTTGGGAATTTTCAGGTGTTCCCCAGGGGAAAAATTTAAGGGAATTTTCCCATTTTTTGGTCAAATTCCCAAGGCAAAATTCCAAGATTTTTGAACTTTCGGGACCTCTCAAATTCCAGCCTCGTTTTCCCTGGGACTCTTTTTTTCCCCCCCAAAAAAATCAAAATTTGCCCAAAATCCGGGGATTTCAGCCCAAAATGGAGCCGGGGTGGGAAATTGGGATGCGGAAATTCCCAGAATTCCCAATTTTTTTCCCTCTGGAAGCCGAGGAAATCGCCATCAGTTGGCCCCGGATCACGGCGTTCGCCGAATCCCACCGGAGACGGGGGCTGCTGTCAGGTGAGTCGAGAAAAATCCCGGAAAATTCGGGATCAATTCCGTAGATTTCGGTTAATTCTTAAAAAATTCTTAATTCCGTGAGTTTTCCCGGAATTTTGAGCGGATTTCCCGGGATTTTGAGGGGGGGGTGGGAATTTCGGGGAATTCGGATTTTAGGGGGAAAAAAATGGATTTTTAGGGATTTTGGAAATCCCCCCCCAAAATTGACCAAAATGCTTGGAATTTCTGGGAATCTTCCTTCAATTTCACCAAATCCTTGAGAATTTTGGGAATCCTCCCTAAATTTCAGCGGATCCTTTGGGATTCTTGGGAATTCTCTTTAAATTTTTGGGGAATTCCCCCTAAATTTGACCAAACTCCTCGAGAATTTTGGGAATCTCCCTTCATTTGATTCAATCCCATAAAATTTTGGGAATTCCCTCACAAACTTGACCAATTCCTTTAAGATTTTTCAGGAATTCCCTTCAAATTTGACCAAAACCTTTGGAATTTTCAGGAATTCCCTTTAAATTTGACCAAAACCTTTGGAATTTTCAAGAATTCCATTTACATTTGAACAAAACCTTTGGAATTTTCAGGAATTCCCTTCAAATTTGACCAAAACCTTTGGAAGTTTCAGGAATTCCCTTTAAATTCGACCAAAACCTTTGGAATTTTCAGGAATTCCCCTTAAATTTGACCAAAACTTTTGGAATTTTCAGGAATTCCCTTTAAATTCGACCAAAACCTTTGGAATTTTCAGGAATTCCCCTTAAATTTGACCAAAACCTTTGGAATTTTCAGGAATTCCCCTTAAATTTGACCAAAACTTTTGGAAGTTTCAGGAATTCCCTTTAAATTCGACCAAAACCTTTGGAATTTTCAGGAATTCCCCTTAAATTTGACCAAAACCTTTGGAATTTTCACCGATTCCCACGAAATCCGACCAAAACCTTCGGAATTTTCACCATTTCCCCTCAAATCTCACCAAAACCACCGGGAATTTTCAACAACTCAACCCCAAACCCTTGAAATTTTTCCCGGAACTCCCCAAATCCTGGGTTTTTTTTAGGGTTTTATCCCCATTTTTGCAACCCCCCCCCCCCTTTTCCCGCTACGGAAGCCC